ACCTCCAACTCCTGGGCTTAGGCAATTCTCTTGCCTCAGCCTCCTGAGTAGCTGGGACTATAGGTGCCCGTCACAACACCCGGCCATTTTTTTGTTGCAGTTCGGCCAGGGCTGGGTTTGAACCTACCATCCTTGGCATATGGGGCCGGGACCCTACCCACTGAGCCACAGGCGCGGCCCAGTAAAAGGTCTCTTTTATTATCGAATCAGAAACCCCTATGTTATGCAGCCTCATACACCCAGGATGCTGTCTCTAAACTGCTAAACCCTTTTGCAGTTCTGCGAAGGTCCATAGTGACCTCGGCTGTGTATCTCACATTCTCTCTGCCTCACCTGGCCTGCAGAGCCCTCTCATCTAAGTTGCTTTGTTTGGTGTCATGTTTCCAGAGAACTAAATAAAGTAAATCAAGAGGTAGTTATTAAAGGGCTGAGGGCGATGGCCCACCTGTAATCCTAGCACTCTGGGAGGCTGAGGTAGGTGTATTGCTTGAGCTCAGGAGTTGGAGACCAGCCTGAGCAAGAGTAAGACCCTGTCTCTACTAAAAATAGAAAAGCTAGTATGCCTGTATTTGGGAGGCTGAGGCAAGAGGATCACTTGAGCCCAGGAGCTTGAGGTTGCTGTGAGCTACGATGCCTTGGCACTTTCTAACAAAGTGAGAAAAGAAGGAAAAGAAGAATAAAGGTAGTTAATAAATTGGTGCAAGGTCACAAAAGAGAAAGATCCTATCGCTTATGCTAAACTTCATTAGACAAGAGCCAAAAGGCAGAAACAACCCAAGTGTTCATCAGCAGATGAGTGGATAAACACCCTGTGCAGACATTGAGTAGGAATACTATCCAGCCATCCAAAGGAATGAAATTCTGATACATGCTATGACATGGATGAAACAAAACCTAAAGACAGCCATAGCCTGAATGTTTGTGTTCCCCCCAAATTCATATGTTGAAGTCTATATGTTTAGCCCTCGTGATGGCATTAGTGCCCTTATATAACAGCCACAGAGAGCTGCTCTGTCCCTTCCACCACATGAGGACACAGCAAGAAGGTGCCATCTAGGAACCAAAAAGGGAGCCCTCAGCAGACACTGAACCCCCTGGCACTTTGATCTTGGACTTCCCAGTCTCCAGAACACGGAGAAATAAATTTCTGTTGTTATAAGCTACCCTGTTTATGGCATTTTGTTACAGCAGCATGAATGATCTAAGACAAAGATGTTAAGCTAAGTGAAATGAGCCAGACACAAAAAGATAAATATTGTATGAATCCACCTACATGAAGCATGTAGAGTAGGTAAATTCATAGAGACAAAATGTAGACCGGTGGTTCCCAAAGGCTGGAGGAAGGAGAATGGGGAGTTATTGCTTGATCAGTACAGTTTCTATTGTAATGTTTAAGATGATGAAAAAGCTCTGGAAATAGGTAGTGGTGATGGTTACATAAAATAGTGAATGTACTTATGCCATTGAATCATACACTTAGGATGGTTAAATTTTGGCTGGGTGCAGTGGCTCATGCTAGTAATCCTAGCACTCTGGGAGGCTGAGGTGGATTGCCTGAGCTCAGGAGTTTGAGATCAGCCTGAGCAAAGTGAGACTCCATCTCTACTAAAAGTTGAAAAACTAGCCAGGTGTTGTGGCAGGCACCTGAAATCCCAGCTACTGGAGAGGTTGAGACAAGAGGATAGCTTGAGCCCAAGAGGTTGAGGTTGCTATGAGCTATGGTGCCACAGCACTCAAAAAAAAAAAGTTAAATTTTATGTTATGTATATTTTACCACAATTTAAAAAGTATTTTTATAGCAACTTAAACTGAGACAACATTCATAATTTCCCAGGCAATTGCCCATAATTTCCCACAACCAGGAGATGGAGAGCACTGATTATGAAGAAACAAGAGTTTTAGAGCCTGAAGCAGCCCCTGCCTTTCCTTTCCATTTTTCTTGAGGCTTAAAGCTGAGATGCAGAGTCTCAGAAGGTCAAACTCTGTGGATTACAGAGGTTCAAGGAATGCTAAATATTTATAGTTGATTTCTTCAGTGGGTGAGATCCAGGCAAAATTGCTAAGGGAGAGAAATATTACAGTATTCAGATGGTGTCAGAGCCTGCTTTGGAAAAGAAGCAATTGCTTGTGTCAAAAGAATGTAAAAGTATAATCAAGCTATTGTTTGCAATTGCTTAGCTAAAATGTGGCCCACTCCAAAAAAAAAAA